TGAGCTCTAGAATTTTATACAGTTGACATATGTGTGTAAATTCTAACATATATATACACACATATAGCTTATGATGGTCTCAGTATGCTGATGATATCAAGTTGCATGTTCCTCTCTTGTGAGAAACTGGCAGTATGACTGAGTACCTTTCCCAGAATCTGGTGGATTTTGGTGTAGGAGTAATAGTGAAGTAACTGAGGCTCAACCTAGAGAAGCCAGGGTTCATACCAGTAGGTTAGGGGAAACAACTGTGAGCTAGGGTAAAGACAGTGTCTGCTCTGCCAACTAATGGTGTATTTCTATAATGTGTTATGCTTATTGACATCTAGAACTCAGATTAGCTGTCCAATTACCACTCGATTATTATCTTCCAACATTTGTCAAGATAGCAGGGAGACAGGAGAGTTGGCTTTCATTGCCAGCTCTGCTACTGATTTGGTGTGACTTTGGACAAGTCACTTTACTTGTCTACCTCAGTTTCCTCATTTGTAAAATGGAGATATCAATACCTCCTTTTTGGTTTGAGATTTCAACTTTTTGTCCCAGTCAGTGGTAGGAAAATGTTCCAAAATCTCAAAAATTCTCTCAGGATGGGTAAATTGTTTCTTGTCCACATATACTTAAAATGGAACCATTTGTAAACTTACTTCATAAGCTAAGTTCAACTCTCAGGCCTGGTCTATGGCAGATAATCATGTTGTCTTAACTACGTCGGTCAGGGGTATGAAAAAAGTCCACATTTGTGAGCAGACCTGTTAAGTCAACCTAACCTTTGGTGTAAACAGCACAGATTGATGGAAGAATTCTTCAGTTGACCTAGCTACACCTCTCAGGGAAGTGGGTTACCTACACTGATGGACAAATCCCTCCATCTGGCATAGGGAGTGTCAACCCTGAATTGGAGTACTGAACACTCAATTGGAGTATTTTGTCCAGTTCTGGGCACCACATTTCATGGTTGGATAGACCTCTATCAGGGATGTTCTAGCCGATGCTTGGTCCTGCCGTGAGAGCAGGGGACTGGACTTGATGATCGCTTGAGGTTCCTTCCAGTTCTAGTGTTCTATGATTCTGTGAAGAGTTGCAGCACTTATGGTAGGCATACTCTAAATTACAAATATGGTAGTCTGCCATAAGTTCATTAATTTCAAAGGAATTACTCCAGTTTTTATACAAATTAAAGGTAGACTGTCCCATCAACATGTCTGGCATTGATGAAATTTGAGATCAGTGTTAGTTGGCAGAAGGTGGTGGAGGTGGAAGCACGATTATTTAAAAAGTTAACATATTTTTAGAGCAACTCATTACTCCAAATCTAATATTACTCTTACCATGTGATTCCTATTTTTCTTATATACTTTACCATCTATTAGCTATTTCTGTTATCATTGTCATGAAGCTAATATTGGTTAATTTCCAGAAACAACATAAATAACTTTTGGTGATACTTTGGAAGAATGATTTGGTAGAGCTAATTTCAGTTTGAGAATAAGTGGCTGCTGCTCTTGGGTTTTGTTCTGAGGACACAAAGTTGGCACCAGTGAAATAAAACATGTATAATACTTTCAGAAGGAGACTAGATGTCACTATTCAGTGGCTTTTTTCCAGCTAAAATCATAGCATATCATTTTTTATATAAAAAGTGCACTAGGTGCAATGTATGAAGTGAATGACTTGTATGCAAAATGGATGTTGTATTATACTCTAGACTTCTTCACTTCTGGAATTTACAGAAATAAAACGATGGGTCAAATTTTTCTCTTGCACCTGTGAAGACCTCACTGTCTGCAATGGGTTAGCAATAGATTTGTGAAGGAAAAATTTAGAATAATATTAAAGACTCTCTCTCTTATTAGCTAGCAAACAGTGGTTTGTTATATAGCAGAAAAGACACAGATACTTCTAGTTAGATCCCATAGTAATTTTTAATTTTCTATTTTAACATATATCTTTACTTCAGTTTGTCACTCTCTATGTATTACAAGACAATTTTGGGACCTGATTTTCCACCACCTTGCATCTTTTATAGACATTTTTCCTCTGTAAAAATAATTTTTGAGACTAGAAAAACACAACTACATTTTAAAAACCATTCAACCATACTGTGAGCACACATGTAAGCCTTAATTGGAGTAAAATGAAAGTTTTTCAACCTGTAGCAGGTGTTGAAAGTAAAGATCATCCCTTGAAAGTAAAGATCAAAGAAACAACATCTGCCAATATGCTCTGATCTTCACTCTGTCTCATTCCTTTGAGTGTGCCTACCACATTACTTGTGTTGCTGCTTTTGATTTTTTGATAGTTTAACATTTGTCTGTTCAAATGCTAAATTCTTTGATCTATAATATGTCCACGAGAATCTTTAGAATCTCTACCAAGTTTGGTAGATAAAATGTTTTTTTCTTCCATGTTTTGTTGCCTCCTGGAAGCTCTCAGATTAAGGAAGAACCCTTAGAATATTATTGAAAAGGAACCCAAATGCTGAACAATTATTCTAGAAGGCACTGCACAATTTTTTAAAAAAGTTCATCCTGACACATGCCTCCTTATTACTGCAGCTAGTGTTGTGACTTAAGTGCAGTGGAATGTACAAACTGCCTAGCTGAAATGTTTTCATTAAGCTACTGAGAATGGTTTTGAAGGTATTTGAACTGAAAATACGTTTCTTAAAAAAATTAAATCCTTGAAGTAAAATTCATCTCTGAGGTAGTTCTTGGATTTGATAGGCTATTCTTCTTGCAAATTTGGCTTGTGCTTATTGATTAAATGTGTGGCCTAAAACTCATGATGTACTTTGTTGACTTAGAGACAATTTTGACCTTCATTTTTCATTCTCTTTTCCAGCTAGATTTCGGGAAAGGAGAATATTGTTTTAAATGTAGTCTTTTGCTATTTGTTCCTTCCTGAAACTTTGTTAGTGCTTTCATGCTTTCAAGCTAGCCAATTTATGAGGAAAGTCTAACTAGCACTGAGACATTCACATTGTGAAGGCTCATTGCAAAATAAGTTGAGGGTACTTGCAGAGGATTACTATTATTCTCTATAGCCGATTTTCAGAGATATGAAGAGATAGGCTTGAACTCATGGCAAAGGAGTATGAAATTGTTTGATCTTTTAATGAAGCATGGATTGTACAGACATTGGTCTCCCTTCAGCCTTGTTGTTAGATTGGAAATCACAACAGATGATGAGTATCACATAAACCTTTTCAGTTATGTTCAAATATGGTATTCAACATAACTTCCTCTACTGCATTTTACTGAATCAAACCATTAAGGATTAATGTGGGAAATATTCTTCCCAAACCTGTGAAAAAATTCTTCTCCAGATGCTACATTATGGCTGTCTACAATACAAAGAAAAGTCAGAAAAAGATACACAAATTGCAGTTCTTTTCCTGCTTTTCTTCCAAAAGAGGCTTTTCCGACATTAGGCATCTACATGAGGCCAAATTTTGGAAAAAAAAAACCTCTTTCAGAACATCCCTTCTTCCCTGTAGAACGAAGTTTACGGGAATGCTGAAAAAATGTGTCTGTTTTTCCAAAAAATGTTTTGGAAAAGCAGACACATTCCTTGGACATGGCAGAACTTTTCCGGGATACCTCCAGTATCCCGGAAAAGCTCGGCAGTGTAGACATAGCTTTAATGATGACATGTCCTATAACGCAGTCTGGCAGTCTATTCTAATCAGAATAGACCAATTTTATGCTGAATTTGCTAGATCATTAGCTTCAGAATTTTAACTTAGTTCCCTACAGGACTTATGTTACTTTTCAGCATTAATTTATTTCTAAACCTCTCCTGATGGGTGGGGGTATTGAGTACTGTTTCTATGACAGTGCCTTCTGTAATCTTTAGCATCATTACACAACATTAATTTACGTACAGAAATTAACTGAATGTAAAGAAAAAGCTGTAGAAATTATTAAAACATAACATAACCTTTCTACTGTCATGGAGCAATGAGTTGTGCTGCAGTATTTATGATATGTTTTAAGAAAAAAGTTAAAAAATATCAATTGTAATTACTGTAAACATATATGCCTCATGGCAAATACATGAATGTTTGAAGCTTTGCCACTGTTTGATAAACAATCTGAGTTATTCCCTTGTGGTACGCTAGCAGACTCTTTAATATAAAGCACCACAAATTATTATTACATTGTATTTTGCTACAAATGTATATTAATGTGGGGCCCAAATTATGCAACTCTATCGGTAGTTCCAAGAGGATCTGGGAAAGTAATTGCTACAATGGAGCTGATACACTTTTGGGGTTACCCCCATTGAGGAAATGTACTACACTGAGGGAATTCATGATCAGATGCACAAATTCAACTTAGGCAGAGTCACAACACAAAAAATAGACTTGTATTTGTGTGCCATGCTATTTGATCAATTGATTTTGCAGTTAACTATTAGCTGAGATAGGGTCACCACTACTGTGAGACCTAAAGTAGACTGTTCAGCACTTTTAGTACACATGCAGGAGTGATCAATGTTGGGGGGAGGATTTAAGTGAGCTCATCGAACAGAAATCAAGCCAAAGTTCAATGAATTATGCAAGAAGATTGCCCCTAGTTCTGTGAGGGCTACGCAATCCTGCTAACTAAAATATAGCCTCAGTACCTAAGACGGTAACTGAGGCTTCAGCGTGAAGACATTTTTAAAAGGAGCAATATCATTTACACTCTAGAGAATGAAATTGCTCCTTGGGATGAAAAAGTGACTCAGACTGGAAAATAATTCTGTCAGACTCCAGCTGACAACCAGCATGGTTCTGCTGCACAAAGATGTAGTAAGGGTGTAGGGGCACAGCTGTCTCCCCCACAGCACAAGTAGGCCATACAGGTGAGCATAATAACATGCTATAATGATAAAAAAGGAGATAAAATTACACCCCCCAATAAAGAAATGTCAAAAATGTTTTCATTATGAAGACTTTGAAAAGGATTTTTCAACAATTTTTCATTTTGAATTTAAAAAAAATTCTTACTTTTTTCCTTCCTTCCCCTTTCCAGTCTTGAAAAAAGATCTTTTTCATTGAAAAATATTTTTATTTGGAAAAATCTGACCAGTTCTAGTTGTTATGAAGAGTCTCATGGGGAGTATTAGTGTCTCAGGAGTACAGAGCCAAGGAAAAGAATTCCTTTCCACCTCACCCTGAATGGCGATACAGCATTTGGGCTATGTACTGGATGAAAAGATTTGGGATTGTGTGAAAAATATTTCTCTCAGTGCTGATCACATGCAGCACCAATTTTGGGGTATACATAAAGAGCAGATTTGGAATCAATAATAATTCTGCACCATATATTAGGGATGTAAAGACTCATTAAAAAGTAAACTGGTAAAACAATATAAATTGAATTATTTAACCAGTTAACTATAGAGGGCTGGAATCCTGCAGTGGGGGCTGCTCCAGGCCACGGCCCCATGTTTTGGGTCCTGCTGGCCATTCCACTCCTCCAGCCCGGCCCTCCATGGTTGGGGCTGCTCCAACTCATCCTGGGCAATTACACTTGGTGGGCCCATTGTTCCATGGGCAGGAAGCTGCTCTGGCTGGCCAGGCCCACTCCAGCTAGGGTCCTGTCAGCTGGGCCGCTGCAGTTGAGGGTCTGTTCCCACAGGACCTGGCCCTCTGGGGGTAATTAGATACTGGGTAAGCATGCAACTAGGGCTAACGTTTACTAGGTTAACTGGTTAAATTTTTCCATCTCTACCCCATATTGCTACTGGCCATCCCAATAAAAATTAGTTTACCAGAGCCTTTGATACAACATAGAAACAGGAAACTAAGGAACCTATTTTTGGGCAACTCAAGAAATGCTGCATTTTTTTGCTGCTGGATAGACACACCAAACTGCGAAATTTAAGAAAAATGCCTGAAAAGAATGTTGACATCCAGTTCAAAGCAATATATGATATGGTAACCTTCTTAGTTTATACTGGCATTCATAACTCCAGAGGGGTTTTCACTTTGTGTCAGATATAGAATACAAGAAGTATGTTTGAAGTAAGAAGATAACAAGAGTCATTTCCGAGGTTGCACTGAAATAACTGAAGGGCAAAATAGGTTCCATATTTGAAGTATGCAACTGTGTCAGTGATTTTACAGTCCTGACAGACACAAGGGGGCCAGTACACCCTTTAGGTCAGGACATTTACCATGAACAATACATGTATCTTATTCTATCACGGGTATTATAAGGGTTACACAAAAATACAAGCCCTCCTACAGGAGAACAGGGTTAAACCTTAAAATAAGTGAGAAATAAAATATACATCTATATGAAGGTTCAGTATGTGACTCTCAACAACAAATGTTCAGATTTATGTTCATGAATTTATGAGGTTTTTAAAGCAGCAATAATCAAGTTGTCTATAAATCATTTTATTTTCTACTTTGGGGGAGTCATATTTCCTGAGTATATCTCATTTCTCATTACTTAGCACTAGTACTGAGAATCTCTTGAAGATGGGTAATTGGAATCCTTCCAGAGATTGTGTTAGCTTTGTAACCATTTGCTAAATGTCAGAGGGCAAAAAGCTGCAGTTGGGTCAACAGGGTAGATAGCTGACAGGGCAGAACAGAAAACAATGTAACATTTGTGGCTTCACCTCTGATTCCCCTTTTTGATGGATGATTTTTTTTTCCATGGAAACGTCCGTGTCAAATTCAGTAATGCTTTTGTTATTCTTGTTTTCTTCTGAAATACGTGTAATGTTCATGTTGCTGACAGTTCCAGTCAGAGGGCTGTAGTTACAAAAAATACGGGACATTTTCACACAGAGGTCACATGAAAACAGTGTTGAGCATTTAAAAAAAAATCCATGCAAAAATGCTTTTTTCCCCCTCCATAATAATTTAATTTTATTTTCCCTGGTGAAACTGGAGACATCTGTTATGTGTAACTAGGACTCATAAATCTGCAAAGACACAGAAAATGAGCATTCCTAGATCTTACACAAGCTACGTATATTCTTTTCATACACTGAAAAAATTATATTTCCCAAACACAAGTTGAGCAGAGATCCATGTTGCAGGTAGGCTGAGACCTACAGCTGTACTCTGTTGGGTGTGGTCACTTTCCTATCTTGGTATAGCTACTATCATTGTAATAAAGTCAATCAGAATAATTGACAGCACAAGTTATTTCCATACGTTAATGATAAACAGCAGGAAATGAGATAATGCAGCTTAGGGTACGTCTACACTAGCCCCCTAGACCGATCTAGTTTAAAGCCCTAACTCAAATTAGCCGGTATTCCTCCTGCAATGAGGTTTACCAGCTAATTTGATTTAGGGGCTTTATTTCAGAATCCCGTTTCACTGCCGCGTGTAGATGCGGGCAGTAACTTCAGGCTAGTCAATTTCTAAAATGGCGACTGGCCAGGAACAGGCCGGGAACAGGCAAATTAAGCATGGGATATTTAAATCCAGGGCTTGATTTGCAATTTCAATCTAGGGGGCTAGTGTAGACGTACCCATAATAATTTTTGTAACCGGCAAATTACTGTAATGTCCATCTGCTTTTTACCAATAACAATGTTCAAAAGTCTATAGCTGGATAGTGTAAACAGTGCATATTTGACATTTGTTTATTGGAGCAATAGTTTGTTGCTCTGCTGTGCAGAGAGGTGAGCAGATCCGCCAATGGAGAAAGACAAAGAGACAACTGCCTTGAGGCCTAGTGATGCTAACAGGTCCAGGGCTACCTGACACTATCACTACTATTGCAGAAGAGGCAGTGCCCAGAGTCCCAGATGCTTTAAATCACTTTCAGAGTATGCAGTCCCAGGCAGCTTTAAGGGCTGGGAGGGGCAGTGGGTGGCACGGCATGCTCCAGGTGGTGCTGAGGGCTGACTGTCCCACTCCTTCTGTTTGAGGCACCTCCCCTTCTGAGCTCATGGAGCAGCCTCCCCATACCTTGCCCAAGGACCAGACATAGCTATTGGCTTCTCTTGAGGTAAAGGCATGGGTATGATGTGTTACAGAATATTGACTAGATGGTTTTGGGGGTAGATCTGCAAAAAAACTTTATTTTATTCTTCTAGGTTGTATGATCTTTTCTTAAGTACATTTTTGAAGTTATTCTTTCTGGCATCTAGCGATTCATATTTAAGCTTGAAAGTTTGTCTATCTCATCAACAGATGTTGGTCTAATAAAATATATTACTTTACCCACCTTGTTTCTAATATCTTGAAACCTACTAGGATACAAGAACACTGCACTGTGTATATATTAAAGTGGAGCAGACAGTATTAAGCCATTCAGTAAAATTTAAGAGTAGAAACTACCCCAGATAACGTACCTGGTGATAAAGGAAAAAAATGGAATAGGAAATCATTCTGTAATATGCAATTAGTGTTGCATATGATATGACTGGTAAATAGAATCTTGCCACCATGCATTTCATGCACAAACAGCTACAGCTTTCTAGCATGACTGCATGGTCGAATGGACAGGCATTAAATCTAATTTCAGCAACAAGCACTCGATGACATCATATTCTGCTCCTTTTGACTGCAATCCAAAGGCCGTCAGTCAGTGAGTCAATAGAAAGATGCCCACAGACTCAAGTGAGCTTTGGATCATGGTCTCTGGAAGGAGTGGAAATATACACTCTTCCAGTCCATACACAGAGCTGGCCTGAAGCATGGCATTCTGGTCAATGAAAGTAAGATTGACCTCAAGTAAGACATCTGCCAGTGTAGCTATGCATGTACTGCTGCCAATGCCGCATGGACTGTGTGAGATACAGCCATGATTTGGCATTAGTAATGATAAATCTTTCTCCACAATTTCCTCATAGTTCACTTTCTCAAAGTAGTTGGGTCTAAAAATGAGCTTCTTATCTTCTACCTCTTTGCATCTCCTCTTTCTGCTTCCTTTTATGACAGTTCTATAAGCTTCCCTTGTCCAGCCTTGCAATTTTGGTTATTTTTTACTTCTCTTACCTTCTTTCTTCACATCCCCAGGCTTTCACCAAGTCCTGCTGCTCTTAAACCTTCCAAAATATCTTCATCCACGTGCTTAAACTCCAATCTCTACCTTTATCGAGGTAGATACAACCTGCATTTCTAGGATATAAAGAAAAAAAGCAGAAGAGCCTCCTTCCCTAAACATCCTATCCTCTTAAAGTATCATAAAAAAGGCACATGTCTAACTTACTTTTTGTTTACGAGGCTTTCTTAAATCCTGCAAGAGATGTTTGATATGGGCTACATGGATCAGCTTCTGCATCATGCATTTTTAGATTCTGGCACTGGACCAAGCAAAACCTGCGGAGTCACTTCATAGGGAAGTCAAGAGATGATCTTGGTTTAAGACAGTTTATGTTTAGGACAGACTACTCATGGGGATAGGGCCAGAAGGGTCCCATCTTAACTCTGAGTTCAGCAACTTTGAAAACTAAGCCATATGACTTAGAGAATCTCTGGGGTCCACCGTATGAAAAATGCAATTGTTTGTGTTCTTCTAAGATTGTGTTTGTAACTTTAGGTTTCCTAATGTAATTCCTCCAGTTATCAGCTCTTTGAAGCCATCCTCTGGAGAGGTTCCCATATACTAATTCAAACTGAATTCTCCAGGGATCAGGCCTGCCAACAGGGGGCAGGAAAGGGGGCAGTTGTCCCAGGGCCTGGTGATACAAAGGAGCCTGGGCTCCAGGGCTACAGTGGTAGCAGTGGTGGCCATAGCCCTGGGCCCTTTAAATTGCTGCTGGAGTTCCTCACAATGCACTCTGTGCAACTCTGAGGGCTGAGGTGGTGGTATGGAGTGCTGGCTGCCCCTAGGTCCATCTCTTCTTCCTGAGGCCCTTCCAGGAGCACAGAGCCACCCTCCCAACCTTGCCCACATGTCCATGCCGGTTGTCGAGCACCTCATCAAGGATCATCAGACAAAGAATTTTGTGTAAATAGCCTGGTTTTAAACAGGTTCGGGGTCTTTTCTGTGATTCTGCAAATGGACAGGATCTGGTCCATGGGAGGTCCCAGTCCTTTGGGAAGGGTTGGAAGGACTGGCCCAACTGAGGTTTGTTCTGAGCCAAAGCTGTGATGAACCTGAAACCATACGGAAACCCAGGAGCGGCCCTAGACAAGCTGCCAGCAACTGGCGCCCTAGGCGAAATGCGCGATGGGCGTGCGATCAGTACCCCCCACCTCCAAAGCCCTCAACATCCGTTTACCTTGGCACCCTAGGCGACCGCCTAGTTTGCCTGTATTGATGGACTGCCAGCGCGGAAACCCTTAGGTGGATTTCGAAGGGCTGCTTCTTCCAGAGCCCATGTTAGGGTTGGGATGATCTCTGCTCTTTTATTTGTCTGCAGTGTTTTTACCATATGAATAACCTAGGCTTTCATAGGAAGTGCTGTGGGGTTCTTTATAGTGGTGGACAATCACTTTGCTTTTAGTTTCTAAAGACAAGGCAAGACAAGAATAACACAGTGCAGTCAGGAATCTGTTGAACATGGAAACACCATGGTCAGAATGGAGAGAGATTCATGCCTCCAACCAAGAATGGCAACAGACAGGGGGAACCAACATCTTGAGACTTGGTGCCTTTTCAGAACCATTGAGCAGAAGCTCAAATTGTAACAATTGACCTTTGTGTTAAAAATACCAAGAGCAAAAAGATGCTTTACCAACAAGTCTGAAGACAAAGGACTTGACTCACTGTAAAGGAAACATGGAAGAATGCTTCTGATGTAGTGGGATTCCTCAGAAGGCGTGGAGTTGATATAGAAAGTGATAGCAAGATTGTAGGAATGGAGGGTTGGGATTGTCATGATTATGAGGGTTAGCCAGCAGCCTGGGGATTAAGGGGTTAACTACACCTAGCCAGGTGGAGTGACCAATAGGAATATAGGTGGGACTTTTCAAACTGGGACAAAGGAATTTGGGTTTTTTTCTTTTCTCCCTTTTGTCTCTCTGAGGGAGTTCTCTGCAACTACAGAGAGGGACAAGCATGTCTCTCTCTCTCTCCAAGACACCATTCTTCATTTTCTGTAAGTAGGGTAAAGTTTAGGCAGTTTCGTTAGGTTTTATTGTTTTAAGGATTGGGTATGGGATCTGAGATCTGGCACTGTGTAAAAGATGTTTTGGCTTTTCTTTGTAACTAAGTTCTAGGCCCATGGAGTTTCTCCATGAGTATATTTTGTTACCTCCCTATCTAGTCATTATGGTTGCAACAGGAATATTGTTGTAATAATAAAAGTTCTTTCTTTTCTTTTAATTAACCTGGCAGTGGTTAATTGTGTGCCTTGATTTTTATTTTAGGGGTAAGATTTCCCAAATGATCTTTCCCCTGATTTCTTTATCAACATTTGGGTGGTGGCAGCGGAAGTTTTATTCCCAAGATCCAGGTTTTTAAGATCTTGGGGGAAGTTTTATACCGAAGCCTGGTAGATAAGGCTTTGGGGTACACTTGCTGGCCCCCACTTCTGCATTTATCATGCCAGAGTGGGGAAGGAGCCATGACAGGGATAGTGCCAATAGTGATAGAGAAGAATGAAGAAAGGAGGTCTTGAGTGCAAATAAATAGGCTCATAAGAGCCCAAGCCATTTTTGTAAATGGGACTGAAGTGCCTATTTCAGGAAGGTGCTTTCAAAAAAAAAAATTACTGTTTTTGTGTGTCTTCACTCCACACACTTTGCATGGAATCCTTCAAGCTGAACCCATAGCTTAACCTCTTACAACTTCATTTACTAGGTGTGCTTATGCCAGGCAAGAAAGTAAGAGCAACACATGCTAGCAGTGTGTTATGTTCTCTTCTAGAGGGCAGTGGCCTACTACAACTATGAGGTGATATATTTAGCTTAAGTGATGGAGGGTTCTGCTCTGCCATGAATTGAAAGCCATGTATTGAAAGCTTGCTGATCAGTTTTGCCATGAGTCTTTGCATTATTTACTACCCTACAGTAAAACTGTACACTAAAAGGAATCTGGTAGAACCTTTACATTAAATGTATGTATATGACACTCCTTATGCATTACTCTTCTGTAGATGGATAAATATTAAAGACAGAAAAACACAGTAGAAGCATTTATATTAATTGAATATAAAATAAATGAGAAATTGGGAATCCTGATTGGACAGAAAAGACAAATAGATAAAATATGTTCTAATATAATTAATAAATATGCAAATAACCATACTTAGACATTTGTGTAGGAGCACACTGTATCAGCCAACATATAGAGAAAACACTTCTCTTTTCTCTGTGAAAAATCACTGTCCTAATTCCCAGCACTATAACAGTACTTCTTAATCTTATCTATCCACCGAGTCTCATTAGAAGAGGCAGGAAACACACTCTGTGACTTCCCAATTCATTCTACCATGAATTAGGAAAACACTGTACAGGCATTCACAATTTAAATAAAAATATAGAGACCTAGAAAATAATATATAGATTACTTTGGCTTGGATCAGATGCAATTGTGTTTACTGTATTTTGCTTCCCCGCGGCTAAGCCTTCTAAAATACGATATGTTTTTTAGATTCTGTAATCAATAGGATATTACTTCAAACCCTTAAAATGAAAAAAAATGGGGTTTTTTTAGAATCTTTCTGCAGCACTTGTTATGAAAAGAATCAAAACTGAGCAAAAAATATATTTCCTTCTATAGCACAGATGAGCCTCAAGAGATTTCCTTCCTTTAAGACTCCCAAACACAGCATGATATTTTAAGATGCTGAGCAGCTTTGATTTACATCTCGTAGGGAAGTCTCCTTTGACTACTGGGAGATATACTGATGGATTAGCCAGACAAGCAAAGCTTTGCAAGAGGGCAGGACCTAATAAACAGAAAGTGAGCTAGGAGGCTATAATACTTATTACTGTTGACAGGTAAGCAATGAAAAGACATGTGAAAAACCAATCTTTCCCAATAGGATATCTTGAAGGCCACTAGCCTTTAGAGATTCTCTTTGATTCCAATCAGTCAGCTCACCAGTGATGATGGGCATGAATTGTTGAAAATAACATATCCTTTTATCATTGTGTTTACAAGGATTTCATGAAAGGGCAGAATTATTGCCTTGGAAATAGTTTAAACAATTGGCCAAATTCAGCGATCTAAGTGGTGGCTTCTCCTGCACATCAGTTTTTAGAATTTTTTACTGAAAATGTCTTGTACAAAATGGAAGTGGAGGATCTGAGGGTGCCATCTCCTTATGCTCCCACCTCCAAAACTGAAGGACAGAAATACGCCTAGCTGTTGTTTAACTGCCTTTGCATCCTGCCTGTTCTGATTAATTTGGAATTTTATGTGATATGATAAAGGTTTGCCATCACTGATATAGAGAGTTGCATAATTAATGAAAGTTAACAGCTTGAATTGCACCTACCTTCAATGCAGTTGTCTAAGAACTGATTTAAAGTTCTCATTGTGACTACCCTGCAGGTTCTTGTGATTTCTGTTCATGAGCAGATTCTAGCAATAATCTAGTCTAGCAGTCACAAGGCTTTGGATAATTATAGACACATCTAAATCAGAAAAAAAAATCTTTATTAGGTGAAAGACATTTTTGGTCTAGGCTTTCATCTGATATGTGAAGAATATACTAAAATTTAAAAGTGCCCCCAAACTTTGAGCCACATGAATAATGATGGATAAATTCCCTGATGTGGAAGCATCCCTGTTCTACCCTTAAGAAAATTATTTTGAAAAAGTCAGCTCGTGTGGGATTTAATTCTCCTCTAGTAACAAACATGCCAAGGAAAATCAGTGGAAAGTTTTCTTATACTTTTAAGTGGGAGTAGAATGTGATACCTTCTGCCTGAACAATTATCTTAAAAAATTCCCAAATTTCTCTTTGGCAGTGGTTGTAGCTGTATGTGTTATACTAATCTTTTTCGCTGAGGAACAATATAAGCAATCATCTAAATATTAAAGGCTAATTGAAAAATATCTTCCTTTTGTGAATTCAACATGTGAGCTTTATTGGGCAGAGCCTGTGTTCCCACTCCTTAGAGACAGGTCAGGATGGCTGTTTTCTCTCAATTATTTACACTGTAAATCTGCTTAGTTTATAAGTAAAACAATGACCTTTTCTTTATAACTGACAGCTCTGCAGACTCAGCCTAGCATCAGAGAGTGAAATAAAGGTTCTGTAGTCCAAATTATACCCTATCTGCCTGTGCAATCCCACCGTCTTCTTTTCAACCAAATCCAAGGGGGAAGCACAATCATGTACTGTACAACCTTTGTACCTGTCTACCCAATGGCTCAGAATGCTCAGATGAGATGAAACGTAAGTTAGTAAAGTCCTAAAAGTTGTCATCTGCCTGTGTTACTCACTGAATGCCACATACTGTTGACATATCATTGATTTAATTGGTTTAAATAGATGTAGGTATTTCCTATAAGATGACAGGTCTGGAAATGTTAATTTGCTGTTGTAAATTCAGCATTGTCCTTTCCAACAGTCATATCTCATTATGGTAATGTCATTTTTCAGATTCTTTATTTTATGCCTTGCTTAGACATTATAATGATAGGTACCATACAAACATCTAAGACACTACAGATAAATGATAGTGTACTTCTGGGACTTCTCATCGTGATTCAGGATTATATGGTACCAGCCTGCTTCAGATTGTTACTTACCATCAGAGGAGAAATCTAGATTACAATTGGAATGTGTAACTATGTAAGCACCAAACATAAAGTAAAGATGAAAAAGTTTTGGATGACCATTGAAAGGTGGGTGAAGTACTGGGATATGAAGTTTGCATGTCCTAGTTGCAGGGGAGAATATAAATTGACATGCTTAATATACCTGAATAAAGATCATTTTTGTGATACTTCTAACCCAGACAGAAACACTAGATTCTACGCAGGACTTGTCTCACAAGATTTCCAGCCCAAGTTTGCTTATTTGCATGGTTCCAAAGCATAGGTATAATTGAGGTTCTAATTTGAAGACATTGGGGTTGCATAGGTGGATATGAGGGTATAATTTGGACTGCAAAATCCTTATTTCACCCTCTGATGCTAGGCTGAGTCTGCAACACTGTCAGTTATAAAGAAAAGGTCATCATTTTACATGTAAACATAGCAGACTTGCAGTGGAAATAATTGAGAGGAAATAGACAATTTGGACCCCGTTATGCATTTCATAGAGTCATTTTTCACAGTATAACTGCACTTAAAAGTCTGAACTGAAGGGAAACACCACACTTTTTTGCGGTTCACACACAAGGTCACAAAATATGAGGATTTATGATACAATTAAAATGTAGGAGTGAGACTCAGAAGTGGACATGTATATTATGCTTTTCTCAAAACAATAGTTTTCCTAGTTTTAACAGGTATAGGCATGGTTTCCAAAACAAACACTATTTGCTCCTTAATTTGAAAATCCTTGTGATGCAATATAAACTGAAATTCTTCCAGAAATTGTTAAGCAAGAAGAAAAAGCCCCAAATTACAGGATTCATCATGGGAATTTTCCAGTTAATGAGGAAATATCAGACTCTCAGTCTGCAGTTCTGATTCAGCTTGGAGGGCAGAGAAGAGGGGAGGGTGGAAGGAAGAAGGGAGGATTTGGTGACATAATGACTGGGCACTGCTCCAGCAGGCCATTTCCTAATAAAAATAGTTGTTATTATTATGCCATTAACATGATAAGCAGCTTGCACTGCTTAAGGAACCTGCAAAGTTTAAGGAAAAGGAAGCAGGACTATCTTGACTCACATCCCTCCTAAGGAAACTCTGCCATCAGTATGGGTCAGAACATTGTTATGCTCAAAATAACTTGGACAATTAAAGTCTGCATCATTGTCACTTTTTCCCCTTGAGTGTTTGCCACATAAAGTAAGGCATTTAAAAAGTAAACTTTGGCACTGAAGTGCTGTGAGCGTTCATCTATTCTTGTTTTCTTTGTCCTTGGCAAAGGTTTCTTCTTGGCTAGCTTATATCTACACTTGAATGTGGATTAGTTGGGAAGAAAATCTGTAGGGACTCTGTGGCAGAACTAGTAAGATATAGGTCAAGTCACTTGTCCAATGAAATACCTAGTGTAAAACAACCTCCCTGTTCATGCTTTAAACTCTTTCTGTAGCTAATATGAAATTTCCATTCTAAAAGGATCTGATATCTGTTAAAAATTCACATGTGGTGAATATGGATAATACTGTGGCTCAATTATGATAGTCTGCATTACATGTTAGCTAATGTAATTTGAAACCCCATTTTAGCATTTAGTGGTGCGAACATAGAACATGTTACAATCTTGTTAGCTAGTCGTATTGTAAACCAGAAAAGAGCCTCATTTAAAAAGCATCTGATTCCTTAGTTTGTTCTATGTAGACACTCCCTTATGGAGTATTCCTAAATCCTCTCTGCTTCCCCTGATGTTGGTTGTTGTTGCTTTCCTGTTTTCTGAAAATGGCAGATTCTGAGTCCAGGTGGTAGCAGAGCAATAGTAGAAGGGCAGAGGAAGACAAAAACAGAAAAAGGAAAGTACTAAAGGGGACAAAGGAGCGAGGGGGAGACCCAGGAACAGACAGGAGACAATGAGGTGGGATAGGATAGGAAGCTCCGGTCCTAGCTGGCAAAGGCTAAAAAATGTTCCTCTTTGTTCTCTGGATGGTCACTGTTGTCATTTCAAGGTATCTTAACTGAAACTGTAGTAGTGTCTAAGACTCATACTGTCCTGAAAGATGGAGTATATGGGGGAGGGATACAGGTCTGCAAAAGAGAGCATACAGTGATTACTACTGTTTTACAATGTTGCATGTCTCATGTTTGGCATAGTCTATCTGTATACTCTGACAAGGGCAGTCTTTGAAAAGCCCTTACATACATTAGCTGGAGTTACTCTGCTTCTATTTATAGGTGACTAAATGAGTGCTTGTCTGAATGCTAAGCTCTGTGGACAGCAGAGCGAAAGTGCACATTCTGATCTGCCAGTCCCGGCACATGCTCACTGACTGGATGTACTGGAGTTGTCAAACAGTGGGATTTTTCTTGTGTAGAGGGAAAATCAAGAACACCATTGTAATTCACCTAACTTCCTGACTCAGTGGCTGCTATTCTTGCCACTTTATTCACCCATGATTTGTCACCAAGGCCTCACTTTGCAGTTCTCCATTCTTCAGGTCTTTGCATCTATGTTTGATGTTCTTCTCCGCTCTATAATGGATGGGATATAATGAGATCATAATGAGAATGATGACACCAGCTGACTGACAACTGACAGCTTCCTCTGTTTGTTCATGTTCTTCAACGAGATGCGGGCAAAGTAGGCCTGAGCTGTGTCTACAGCCATACTTTGACCTAATTTACAGCAGGCTGCAGAAGGTCCACCAGATCTATGCAAACTCCCTCCACTGGTGTTAATTTGCGTGCAAACAAAGCTCAAAAGCTTCCCCTGGACTTTGGCAACTTGTGTGCATGCAGTCTCTCTGCCCAGTTTTCAGTGCATCTCCTTACACTAAGGCGCTGATCCAACTCCTAATAAAGCAAATGGAAAAGCTCCCATTCATTTCTATGGGTCTTGGATCAGGCCCTACACTCATTTGCCATATGTTTTGTGCATCCACAATGGCCACCTAATTCACAGATGAATGTGTCCAACAGTGGCCTTTGATAACTGAGCCCAAAACTTCTATCTCGTGAAACAGCACTTTTTAAGATTAGATTGCAAAACCTACATTTCCCATTTTGCCTAACTAAAGGGAATAGAAATCTTTAGGAAACATCTGGTTTCTCAATTTGTAAGAAGCTTGTGGTTAACTTCCTCAGCATGATTTCAGAAGAATCTGTTAGCATGAAATAAATGTACAATAATAAAGCAACAAACATTATAAGGAAAATTACATTTAAAGATAATATTTACATTCTGTCAAATGAAAAATATGCCTGTTTATTCATATTGCGACCATATCAGGCAAAGAGGTTACTAAATAAGCATAATGATAGTGAACCAATAACTGCAAAGATCTGCTCCTAAAATTATATAGTCAAATAATATTAAAAATGTCTTCATAATCTTGCAAGTAAAAACAATTAAAAAAACCCCTTCAAGTTATGTTTGAGTTTACTATGTTTATTAATGCAGGGACTAAATATAAGTGGGGAAAACTGGATGAGGGTGGGATGGGAAAGAGACTGTTATTTTGAATAGCTGTGCTGGCAAATTCTAAGCTCTATAGGAACAGGCTGATAAAATACTGGCTCTTTTGGCAAGATAGTTCTCCAACACCTGAACCAAAAAAGTTTGCACAATTAAAGGATTCTGTAGATTCTGATAACAGATTTGGGCCAGACTGCAGACAGAGCTCAGTTTTAAGAAGTTTGCTGCCATCTAATGTCTAAATTTTTTTTGTCCCCCCCTCCCACATTTATATAATTTTATATATAGTTTTATTGAACTGTGGAACAAATTAGTGAAAAATAATTAGGGACAGATCAGAACACAGTTCCACAGTTGATGCTGCATGGGTGGACAAAAATTGAATGGGTTTCCATGTAAACTCTGGAGTCTGCTTGTATCCAAATCAGGGCTAG